CTCCAGTCTGGGCGGCAGAGTGAGACTCCAACTCAAAAAAAAAAAAAAAAAAATTGTATGATCACTTTCCTTGACTTCTCTTTCAGAGTGTTCCATGGAAAGATTTTGTTATCCTTTCGTTTTTGACATGTGTTACATTTTAGATAATGCTTCGAAAGTGATACCTTTCTTGAATAAAACCAAAATTAGATTATTTAAAACCATGAGCTTATTTACTGACAACTGAGCTGAATGCATCCTGTTTAACCTTGAAGTCATTCCCATATGCTTCACTGTCATGATTGGGAGGGGTCAGAGAATTATTTAGAACCACACTTCATTAATAAAAGTTTAGTCCTGCCGGGCTTGGTGGCTCAGCCTGTAATCCCAGCACTTTGGAAGGCTGAGGCGAGTGGATTACCTGAGGCCGCGGGTTTGAGACCCACCCGGGCAACTTGGTGAGACCCGGTCTCTACAATAAATAAAAAATTTGCTGGGTGTGGTTGCGCACACCTGTAGTTCCGGCTACTTGTAAGGCTGAGGCAGAAGGATCACCGGAGCCCAGCAGGTCAAGGCTGTGGTGGCCGGGAGCGGCCACTGCACTCCAGTCTGGGCGACAGAGTGAGACTCTAACTCAACAACAACAAAAAAAGTTTAGTCCTGTGTAAAATTCACTTTCAGAGGGCTTTTAAAGACCTAAGCCCAAATAAGGGATTTCCTGAGCTTGGTAAACAAACTCCTAGAAACCTGTTAAATGCAGTTGTACAGTTAAAGTATCGAGGAAAATGTCAAAAGATTTATTAACTGTGCAAGCTTTAGTTAAGGTGAGAGCGAGGTGTAATACCTGTGCAAAGTATTTAAGTGGTTAAGTATTTAAGAAGTTTTCAGAACCCGACTCGTTGGCTCAGCCCGTAATCCCGCGCCTTGGTAGGCTGAGGTGAGTGGATTGCCTGAGCCCGCGGGTTCGAGACCGGCCTGGGCAACTTGGCGAGACCTCGTCTCTACAATAAAAAATCAAAAAAATTAGCCGGGCGTGGTAGCACACACCTGTAGTTCCAGCACTTAGAAGGCTGAGGCGGAAGGATCGCCGGAGCCCAGCAGGTCGAGGCTGCGGTGGCCAGGAGCGACCACTGCACTCCAGTCTGGGCGACAGAGTAAGACTCCAGACTCCAACTCAAAAAAAAAAAAAAAAAAAGAAGTAGTCAGTAAATTCAAGAACCACAAGTATGTTTGTTTGCTTTCTACTTTTTAAATTTAGCGTCTTTTTTTCTTCTTGGTTTTTCTCTTAAATTTAAAGTCTTAATTACTGGGGGGTTTTGTTTTGTCCCATCAAAAAAATATTCTCTAAATAAGGAATTTGGGTTATAGTAAGAATAGAAAGATTATGTTCTGCCCATGAAAGGTGAAAGAGCATAAGTTCTGGCATTAAAGAGACCCAAGTTTATTTTCTTTCTCTGTCATTCTGGGGATATCACCTGAGTCAAGGCTACGTGCTCTGTAAAATGGGGGTCCTAATTCCTACCTCTAGAAGTTGTTGAGAACATTGAATGGGACAACACATGAGAAGGCCTGCCACCTAGATGATTTTCAGTTTATGTTTCCTTCGTGGTTCCTAAAGCTCATTGAAGATATGTAGGCTGAGTCCTGGTCTCTCTGCCTTGTACTGAAAGTGTTTGATTATATTGCACTCATAATGAAGAAGGTGTCTAATGAAACCTCCTACAGAGGCAAATAGTAATGACTTGATTCCAGCACTGCCAGTAGAGCTTCCCCCATCCAAAAAACAGGGATATTTGCTGTTAGTACGTTAAATTTCAGAAACTAATGAACTCTACTAATTGAATTCATCTTTGTTAATTAATAAGGTTCTAGTAAATTGGTTGCTTTCTTGTGTAACATCCTGCAAAAAGACAGTAAGATCTAATGATTAAAAGTTCACTAGTTCCACCTCATTCTTTCCTATACATATAGTGGTAGTGGCCAGAATATCATTTTGTACTTTACATTGTCTTGAAATGTTATTATTTAAACTCCTGAAATTATTGACTTGAAGATGAATGTGAAAAAATCATGGACTGAGAATTCTCTGCTGTCTGACTAGTTAACATTGTAAGAGTTTTTTAAGGAGAAACTGGGGAAATCAGTTCAGCAACTACTATTGCAATGGCTGCAGCATAAGGGTATATTGGTTTTATTTACCAGGTTGTGCCAAGAGCAACATCCAAGAAGATTTTTTTTCACTTAGGTGGTAAAAAATATAAATTTTTTTCCTGGGAGAGAGTAGAAACTAAAGTTAGGTTAATAATGTGATTCTCAAATTTGGAAATGGGGTCCAAGTGAGGGTTACCCGGAGGATCATTCATATTTCCTGGACTGTTTAGGTAAGGAGCATGTTTTTGTTTTTGTTTTTTTCAACTGTCTTCTAAATGCTTAACTGCTTCTATACTATATGTTAGTCCTCAAAGAGCCATATCTAGTATGATGTATTGACACATTTTCCCCCCTTTTTCAATTACAGAGAGAATTCCCTAAATTTTTTACATTCCGAGCAAGGGATAAGGTAAGGTCTGATTTATTCCCTATTTTTAAAATTCTTCGCTTATTTTTTTTAAAGTTCAAGACTAGCTTACCTTTGCCATGTTTTCTTCTTGCCATTCTCCTTTCTCTCATTAAATTTGTGCTTCTCTTTGACTTACATGTGTCCTAGAACCAAACCAGACTTTCTGCTGAGTTTGGTTTAAGAAACAACCGAAAGTACTGAGCTACCCAAAGAAGGCAATAACTTTCAAAATCATTCCTATCCTTTAGAACAGTCCTAAGGATGTGATTATAAAGGACTACTATACTTTGTAGGATTATTCTTGTCACATACAGTTAATTTATAGTTAGCCCTTTTGTATGTGCATTTGTTTTTCAATTTTAAAGTACAAACTTTCAGGCTATGTTGGTTTCTTCCTGTTACCAGCTTATATTTTTTGGCTCTTTCCCTCCATTCTTTAAATTGATGTATACTTGGAAAAACAACTTAGTTTCAGCAAAATGTATAGTAACTGTGCTAATACAACTTTTAAAAAAGACATATAAATAATTATATACCTATGGCTCCAAGGCCAAATGTTGCAAAAACCTCTTTTATTAAAAGAAAAAATCATCTAATGTTTATTTGTTGAGTATTTATTATGTCCTTTGTACTATGTCATAAGTGATAAGATACAGATCCTGCCCTTAAGCATTTTAGATTAGTTGGGTAAGCTCAAACATTGGCATGTGTAGTAGATACTAATGTAAAGCAGTCAGTGGTTAATTGTAAAAGTGAATTATAAAGACATTACATGCTATAGGAGTTCTAAGGAAATTGAGGTGTTTTGTTTATTTGTCTGTTTGTTTTTAATGCACATTATCACCACTTGTAAAAGTATAAACGCTAAAAGTTTGGAAAGTAAATAGGTACTTTAGAGTCTAATCTTATGTAAGCTATAGCATTAGCCTTGTATGTAGCTTCTTTTTGTTGCTCATTAGCAGATTATAGCTTATGTTTCTATTTTCCAGCATATTTTTTACATACACATTCATAATATAATTTTGTAACTGCCTCTTGTGGGCTGATTTTTCTGTGATTCTTATGCTCAGTTTGAGGAGGATCGTATCTACCGTCACCTGGAGCCTGCTCTTGCTTTCCAGTTAGAGCTGAACCGGATGAGAAATTTTGATCTAACTGCTATTCCATGTGCTAATCACAAAATGCACCTCTATCTTGGGGCAGCCAAGGTGGAAGTGGGCACAGAAGTAACAGACTACAGGTTCTTTGTTCGTGCAATCATCAGACATTCTGATCTGGTCACTAAGGTGGGTGCTATACTTTAATGGGAAGTTATCTCTGAGGGAAGGGACAGAGAAACAGGCATGGTTCAAACCCAAGTTTTCATGTTTTGAATCAAGGCTCTTGTTCTCTTTTATCTTATTCTTTAATAGCCAGCAAAAATCTGAGTCATTTCTCACATAAAAGTAAATGTTTCATATAATAAACACGGCCCCCCCTTTTTTAAATAACGGAAGCATGGTAGCAGTCACTTTAGAAAAGGGAAAGTATGGTAACAGAAAATTCAGAGAGAGTTGGGTGATATTAGAGCATTGGGAGATGAGTTAGGAAAGAGGTCATTCCATTTTATAGCTGGCTAGAGGTATGGGTAGTGTATGTACAGAGCAAGGCATTTCCTGATGTATTAGTTATTATTGTATTCCATAACCATAACCTTTCTTCAGCTTTTCATTTCTAAACAGATTTCCTTTCTAAATAGTTCTCTTTGGCACATGTAAAATATCCTATTGTGGTGCCTAGCGTTTCTATCTCTTAGAGGGAAATGATACCATAAGAGGCAGGAGAAGGGATTGACAGACTCTTTATCTGACCCTTGCCCCCACTTCTTGAGTTGCAAGACAGACTCTAGGGAAAAGATAAACAGTGTCTTCACCAGATGCCTTATGATTCTTGACATACTGCTGCTTAAGTTATTATAATAGTCATTTCTGTGTTGCTGCTTTTAAAACACATTAATGTTTATCATTTTCTTCCTGCATAGGAAGCTTCTTTTGAATATCTACAAAATGAAGGGGAACGGCTGCTCTTGGAAGCCATGGATGAGTTGGAAGTTGCTTTTAACAATACAAATGTCCGCACTGACTGTAACCACATCTTCCTGAACTTTGTACCCACAGTCATTATGGACCCATCAAAGGTACATTTCTTCTTAGCTTCTGTCCTAGCACTAGCAGACACAAGCAAAGAGATTCATTCATTTTGTTAATCTCACTTGAACTTGGAAACAGGTACTCTTGTTTCCAAGTTGAGTTGAGCCCTTAATATTTGAAATTTATACAATGCCTATAAGACTGAGTTTCAGCCAGGCTCGGTGGCTCAGCCTATAATCCCGCACCTTGGGAGGCTGAGATGAGTGGATTGCCTGAGCCTGCGGGTTCGAGACCTGCTTGGGCAACTTGGTGAGACCTCATCTCTACAATAAATAA